AATTAATTGTCTGACTATTATTATTATTATTATATAAGTGTTAATAACACTTAATATAACTCATAATAATAGCCCAAATAATTATTTTAAGGACCTAATAACATTCCTATATTAAAACATAAGCTAAACTAAAGATAGGATAGGTACAGCTCACTTACAGTGGGTTTTTCTCGAAAACCGGGCTTCGCTGGAGCAGAGTTCTTGAGCCGAAAGGCTCTTTTCTCGGGACTCCGGGAGCCTCGGGGCTTCCTTCGGGTGCTAGGGGGTTTACCTAGGCTTTTAGGGGGGTTAGGGAGCTTAGAGAGAGAGTTTAGAGAGAGAAAGAAGAGGGGTGAGGGGTGAGGAAATGAGGGAACCCGGCACCTCTATTTATAGGGGAGGATTCTGATGGACTCGCCGAGTAGGGGGGACCTACTCGCCGAGTTGGTCCATGTGGTGGCCTTCTGGTGGTGCCACGTGTCCAATTCTGGTGGTGCTACGTCACCCCTATCACGTGTCAGCCCTCAAACTTAGAAAAATCATAACTTTCGCATACGAGCTCCGTTTTCGACGTTCTTTATATCCACGCGTAGGTAAAATCAAGATCTACAACTTTCGTTTAGACTCCGTCGGCTAATTCTCGATCGATCTCAAATTTAACAGTAGGAGGCGTTTAGACTGTTAAATGACCGCGAAGAGTTCATAACTCCTTCATACGGACTCCGTTTTCGTCTGTCTTTTTACCGTTGAGTTCCTATGAATGAGATCTTCAACTCTCATTTAGGTCGCGTAAGCCAAAAACCGCTCGAACTAAAATTCGAGTTTCGGGTCGTGCACTGCTAAGCCGAATCTTAGAAAAATCATAACTTCTTCATACGAAGTCAGATTTGGGCGTTCTTTTTATCGATGTTCTTAGTTTAACATATTCTACGACTTTTGTTTAGATTGCTAAGGCTAGAAAAGTCTTCTATCGTAAATTCACTATTTACGTCTCCCGGTGCCGTGCCGGTTTTGCCGTAAAACTTCGGCGGGTCATAACTTCTTCATTATAGCTCGGATTTCGGCATTCTTTATATCTACGGAAACCTTGAGACATATTCTACAACTTTGTGTAGAGATATCGGGATTATCTCACACTTTAATTTTGACGCTCATTTTTATTCTTTATTAATTATACATTTATAATTAAATAATAAACACATAAACACACATAATTCACATAATACTCAAATATTTCATATTTATTACTTCAAAAAGAGTTACAATAGTTGACCTAGACTATTACATTGACAAAAATGCTTAGCCCTGAAACCCGGGCGTTACAGGAATGGACTTGGGAGCTGATGGACGAGATGATGGAGCATTACCCCGAGCTGTTTCAGGATCGAGCAGCAGACTTCGAGGACGAAGTCTAAAATAAGTGGGAGAGATTTGTAGCACCTGGTTCCTGGTATGTAAATCTTATTTGAGTATTTCCCATTTTAGCCTTGGACTCGGCGAGACATAGGTCCGAATCGCCGAGTAGGGACGAGACTCAGGACACGTTTAAGTTGGCGACTCGGCGAGTCCATATCCTGGACTCGGCGAGTCACCGCTGCTGGATGAAACCCTAAATTTCAAGGGTTTGCACCCTATTTAAACCCTCATTTCCGCCCCAAACTCGCCCTCATTCACCCTCAGAGCTCCCAAGATCGTTTATACCCTTATTTCCTTGAGAGATTGAAGTGTTTTGGTGTGTTCTTGAAGATTTTGAGGAGAAAGAAGAGTAGATCAAGAAGAGGAGAAGGAGGCCAGACATCTTTGTGTCATCTCAACGTTTTCCTTGAGGTATAGCTCGTTTCCCCTCTGTTTTCAAGCTTGTAGTCTCTTTTAGCTTCATGGAATTCCTTCTTGAGCCATTCCCCAAGCTTGTTGGTGCATTGTGGGTTGTAATAAGTTGTTAGCCTTTAGACCTAGGCATGATATAGTCCCTGGAGCTTGGATCTAATGCCTTTATGGGGTCATATTGCATGAAAGCCCTAGATCTACCCATTTTGGTGCACTTTGAGCCCTAAAATCCATATTGGTGAATATCTACACGTAAAGTTGGAAACTTTACGTGTGATTCGTGTCTTAGAAACCCAGATCTATGAATGGCATGGATTGAAATCGAACAAATTGGTGTATTTAATGGATGCATGGCGACGACTCGGCGAGTCTGCTCGCGAGTCACCGAATTGATCCCTTTATGCTGTATTGAGTTTGAGCAGTGAGTCACAAGGGGTGACTCGGTGAGTTAGAAGCTGAACTCACCCATGGTAGGACTCGGCGAGTCATGGCCTGGCTCGGCGAGTCCAAGGCAATCTTCATAGATCAAGAACAGACTCGGCGAGTTGTTCATACAACTCGGCGAGTCTAAGCATGAGTGTTCATCGGATGAAGATGAACTCGACGAGTTGTTCATACAACTCGGCGAGTAGGACGAAGAACTTCAATGTCAGTTTAGAAGAAGAACTCGTCGAGTCATAGCCTAACTCGACGAGTAGAATCAGGGACTCAGGACAATCGTCTGAATAGGAACTCGGCGAGTTGGTGAGCCAACTGAAAGTTGACTCTGACTTGGACTCAGGGCTAGACCTGGGGTGAAATGGTCATTTTACCCAAAGGACAGTTAGCAGTGTTTGATTGATTATGTTGTGGGAATTACAGCCGGAGGATTTCCGGAGCAGCAGCAGCAGCAGTCAGTCAGTTCCCGATCAGTTCAGCAGCTACTTTGAGGTGAGTTACCTTCCAGTAGTGGTGGGTCTAAGGCCACAATGCCGGCCCACCAGTAGGAGACGTATGATAGATGATTGTCTTTGTGATATCATCTGGGTTTGCTATTACCTGATATGTTATATGCTAGCATGATACGTTATATGCGATAGTAGTAGAGTTCGGTTGTTAGGACCGCAGGGTAGTCAGACACCCCCGAAATGTCTGACAGTATGTGATGATATGTTTGTATGTTGGCCTGTTATGTTATGCGATAGAGGTAGTAGGAGGGGACCAGTCCCCGAGGATCGGTTGTTAGGACCGATGGGTAGTCAGCACCCCAGAATGGCTTGACATTGGTAGTCAGCACCCCAGAATGGCTTGAGACGGGTAGGACGGCACCCCAGAATGGCCGTATGGGTAGGTCGGCACCCCAGAATGGTCGTACCGGGTAGTCAGGCACCCCAGAATAGCCTGGCAGTATGCATGTTATGTGTTTGTATGGTATGTGGTACGTTGGGGGAACTCACTAAGCTTTGTGCTTACGTTTTACAGTTTTGTTTTCAGGTACCTCTTCACAGAAGGGGAAGGAGCTGCGCGGTAGCGGCACATCATGCACACACTCTGATTTCCGCATTTACAAGATTCACTGGGATTTGTACTCTGATATTTTGATGGGTTGTATGGTTTGGCTTTTAGAGATGGTTTACGTTATGTTATGGTTTGATCAAACAATGTTTTTAATTGCTAATGTTTTCTAAAGTAATGTTTTCGAACGAAATTTCCGGACGTGAAAATTGGGTCGTTACATTACACCCGTGGTGTGGAACTTTACGCTTTTGTTCATTTCTTATGTCGCTATATCTATTTATTGTGGAAGTCATCTTCTTTTGGAATTGACATTTTTACCCCTTGCGATGACTCTCTAAATGCACATATCTTCGAAAGTGATCGATTCTGATTCAATTGCCCCTTAATCGATGTTTTTCTTGTGTACCCACGAGCTTATGGATTTAGTTGATTGGTGGTATTGGTGTTTTCATTATACGTATGTCGTAGTATGATGTAGTTGTAGTAGTTTTGTAACGGGAGTTGATATTTTTCCTTTTGAAATTGATCAATCCACATCATCTACAATATATTTTGTAGTTATGATACAAGTCGGTAAAACGTATATTTTATATAGATAAATTAATTTTTTAGGTGGAAAATATCACCACTTTCACTCTTGTCTATTGTCTAGCTTCTTGTTAGCCTTTTAATTTATTTATTTTTTGTCATTCAAAAAAATGTAATTATTTTATTATATTGTAATTACTTCCGTTACTATATACTCAAATACTCAATACGGTTTATACCATCTGTAATATGTACTACTTAATTTACATTTCACAACTGAACATTAATAGTAATACAACATTTTTCTTTCAAATTTGACCTTTCCAAGTAGCTAAATGTTTTTGAATAATATTGGATGAGAGTCTTACTAAGACCACGTATAGAACATTCTGACGAGATTGAGAGTTTCGTTCTGATTTGCATATCTTGTACGTTTGTAAATGTACACATAATTATTCTTAACGGGTGAGAAGTCATACAAAATCAAAACAATCTCTTCTCAAACATATACTAGAAGACCAATTTGGGTATTATTCAATTACGATTAACTTTTCCAACGAACCACAAGCTTAGATTTATTTACTGAAAAAGTACGAGCTCCCTAGATGGTTAGATAGATCCCATGAATGTTGTGTAAATAACTTGCTCCTTTTAAACTTGTTGATATGAAAATTACGAAAAGAAAGTATAGTAAGTAAATATTAGCGAACTATAACATTTATATCCTTTTCAACCACTTCAACCCAAAATTTGATCATGGTCTCATGGACATGTTTGTAACGGTTTCGGCTTGTTGGTATGATATATATCTGTAAGTATATATAAATATTAATCTAATATAAAATAACATGATATATATATATATATATATATATATATATATATATATATATATATATATATATAAGATGTTCATCTAGTAGTCCAATCTACATCGACCTTCTAGTATGTGTGAAGACCAAGCAACGTGGTCACACTTGTCAACCCATTGAATATCGACAAGGTCTCTTATCCATCATTATCCTCCCTTCTAGTTAAACGTTTTATGAATCTTCATCGATCCTAATACCTCCTTGGCTGTATATATTTCTTCCCTCTCTTTATATATATGCATTCAAAATATAATTCACATAACATTCACAATTTATACCATACAATTCTTCAAGAAAATGAACACCCAAATCTGTAATACCATGGAAGATCATAGCCATGACGCAGAGGAAACACTTTCTCTCTCCGATCTTCATATTAAAGACGATGCCATCGATTCAAAAGAAGTTTCTAAAGCAAATCATAGTTCATCGTCTTCCTCCTCCTCGTCGACTTCATTTGATCAAGATTTTTTGGGGTTTTTCAGTGAAGAATGGAGTCGTGATCCATCTTATAATGCTTCACCTGAAAACTTTATTTTTTGTGGGAAAGTAGTTTCTTCCAAAACATCCATTGCCGGAATTAAGAAGACTGAAACCAAGAGCCAAGTTAGTCCATTATTTCGGTCAAGTTCTGATTCTTTTAGATTCATGACCTTGAAAACTGCTTCCAAGCCAAGCACTCCGAGATCAAAGTCATTGCCAAATAGATTGCCAAAATCATCTTCATGCAAGTCAAAGTGGCAGGTGTTTATGTTTGGGTTTGGATCAGGCAAGTTCCCTACTAAAATGGATATGAGTGACATCAAGACCAGACAATTCCGGCGGAAGAGTACAGTAACCGTGTCTCAATGGGTTGATGACGGCAAGGACGAGTGCGTTGGCCGGAGAAGCGGTAAAAAGGGTTGGTGGCGGTTGGTCGACGTTCTTGGATGTAGCGGTGGATATGATAAGGACACCATGGTGGTCATATAAACCTTTGTTAATTAGTTTGACCGAGTTTGTGTTCGATGTTTGATCGATCGAGTATAGGTGCAATGAACCTTTTCTTTTCTCCTAGTTGTTCGTATAATTATAATTGCAATTTGAGATTATTGGTTTAATTAGATATCTTTGGTGTCACGTGAGGTACTGATCTTGCATATTAATTATATCCATTTGTGTAGGGTATCAACTGATAAATGATTCATGATACATCGCATATATATATGATTTTGTCAGTTTATTCACGTACATGTTTCATATATTTTATATAAATATATGTACTCACACATATTCTTTTCTTATTTATAAAACCACTTATATACTTTATAAATTAGTTACATATTTTTTTTTCACCTAGTATTATTATTATATATTAAAAACTGTTTTGTTTTCTATTATAATTAATTAGTTTTGCTGGAATTAAATTCTTAGTTAATTCAAAACTATCTAAATAGCTAGTTATAAAGAGCCAAATTAAAATCAAAGTTACAACAAAATGGAAGTGAAAAATAGTGAATTACAATAAATTAGAGATTTTATATTAAAAAGAATATCAAATTTAAATAATAAATAATAATAAATAAATAACAAATAATAAAAATATATAAACCTGAATATTGTATTTTGGTTTAAACTTTTGTTTCTATCCACGTGAAAATGTTCCAATTCGTACGGTGTCCAACCCAACCTAAATCTCAGACCATTTCTTTATCCCAGCCAAAAGCCCAAAACAACTACCGACCTCAAAATTCCGAGACCCAATAAACCCCCGTGAGCTTAAATTCGATCAATATGAAAAAAAGACAAACTTCATCTAACTCGTATTTATTTATTTTCAACTTTTAGTAAAAAATTAGTAATTTATCAAAATAGTCATGAAATTACAAATTGCATTTGGGAAAATCTCTACAATCTGCAAAAATCATATGGGATCTGCAAAAATTGTTTTGGCATTTCAAGGGGAAAATGAAAATAAAATTTATATAAGTGAAAGAATTTTAGAGATTATAAATATGCCCATGGCATAAGAAGCATTGTACTTCATTTGCATATTTAGTTTGATATAGGACTAAGCTTGTAACATTAGCGATAGTTGAACTAAGTGTGTGTTATGAAGACCAAACATTAAGGACTAAACAAGTAATTTACTCTTATTATTGTTATAAACAAATGGTGTTTGTGGTGGTGATACTGATAGCCTCTTGTTATTTCTTACTTCTAAAACCACACGCCAATAGGAGCTGGCATTTCAACGCTTGCGCTTCTAGAATCCTAAGACCAAAATGGAATCCTCTATTTCCTATATATGGAAATTTTGAGGTATAATTGATAACCGATAACAGATAATGACGATAGTTTTCAATGTGCTTAAGAAGTTTTATTGATCAAAATTAATCAATGTGCTATAAGCATATAAGCCTATAACCGTTTCGTTGTGACAAAAATAGGATAACAAGACTTGTTAAGGAGTAGACCATCTTTAGACGACTCTGGATTATTATTTTTCAATGAACCTACAATTACGATGTTTTAAATCATTCACATTTAATTAATTTATATCTCTTTTTCATTTTTGTAAGCTTAGTCATCTAAATATCAAAACCCGATCAATTTTCACCCTTAATTTAAATTGTATTATGTACTAGTTAAATAGAACTGTCTCAAATATCATCCGTGTGAGCTGCGTGGTTTTTATGAAGTTAAATATATTGAATTATACACCAAATATTATAAAAAAAATCCCCCACAAAATCACATGCAATATTTTATATATAATTATTTAATTACACATTATACGCGCCACATATTTTTTCCGATTATGTGTATATATACGTGTGCATAATTTTGAAACAAACAAAAACATACAAACATGGATATGCATGCAAACGAAGCAAGTGATGATGCCGATGATACTCTCTCCCTTTCCGATTTTCAGATTTACAGTGATCCATCTTCTTCATCCGAAGAACCATATAACAGGAATTCATTGTCATCATTTAGATTCACAATCGTCAGCTCCCCCAGACCGGAAAAAGTTGCTTTGTTTGGTAATTTGATTTCTGTACCTGAAAACGATCTGAAACCACATCGTAAGGCCCAAAAAACTTCAAGATTCAAAACATTTCCGGTGAAGGGAAACGGCAGTTGTTTTGATGATACTTTGGTTCCTGCTGCGAGGCCACGGCGGATGACCGGGAGTGGCTTCTTAATGTTCGGAGTGGGAAAGTCTCCGACGAGGATGGAGCTGTGTGATTTAAGGAGTAGACAAGCTCGTGGTAGTCCAGCAAGAATTTTCCCCGTTAATGGTGGTGGTGAAGAAGAGGCGAAGGCTCGCCGGAGATCTGGCAACTGGTCGGGTAAATTGTTCGGAGCATGCATTCCTATGCTTTGACTTGACTGTCATGTATGTCAGCAGTCAGTTTGTGTTACATGCAGTGTATATCGTATATTGTAATTTTCTGTTTATATAATGCAGATTAGAATAGTGATTTTTGTTCGATTACAAATTCAGAACACGTTTGGACATATTAATTCTTTTTGAAAACAAAATTGATAATATAAATAAAAAGTAATATGTTTTGTATGTTAGAAAAAGGGTTAGAAAACAGAGTTTGGCAATCAAGAAATAGAATTTCTTACGGCTTGTGTAAGTTAGCTAGCGGTATTGATATTTTTATTGGCGAGAAATTCAATGTAGGATATTTTGTGAAGACACCTTGGTGGTGTTTGTTTTTTTTTTTTTTTTTTTAAGAGTTAAAACGTTTCCGGTCTGCAAGCACATCTGTATATTTGTGTATATTTGTAGAAGAAGGGGTGAATTAAACGTTAAAAAAAAATTGTTTTCAATCATTTTAGTTTGTAGAAACATACTTTCACTTCTAGAAGCATAGTAACATACTTTATTTTAATCTAAAATGTGTGTTTGTGAATAAGAACATACTTCCATATCTAAAATATAATTAGTCTAAGTTCAAGTTTTAAGAAGACTTCATCATTAAAGTAGAAACTCAAAAACGAGTAAACATTTCTACAAGAAATAGTCATCTCAATTATCACATTCTAAAACAAAAACACCTCGCAATTTCTTGCTCCACCGCAACTCCTCCCTAGTTAGCAATGGCACCACCAAATACATAATTGAATTATTATAAAATTTACAATATGTTTACATAATTATCATACTTAACATTGTATTGTAAATGAATCAGACTTTTGATTTATTATTTGAAGTATTTAGCCCAAATTACACAGCAACTTATTCCTCATTTGCAGAATAACCTATTTGTTACAAATCATTCTATTTTTTTCATGTAAATAGATCATATCTAAATGCTTTATGTATTAAAAGAGCTGACTACAACCCAAATGCCTAGTTTGATTAACAAAACTTATAGTTGTTATGTTAATATGTAACCTGATTGAAAAATCTAGTAACACATAATGAATCAAATATCCTCTTTTTCCATAGACAAACGTGAAAGACAAATGTGAAAGACAAAGTTGATGAAATCAATTATTTTATAAATTAAACTAGTGGGTCGCCGATTCTAGAAAAATCAAACCAGTGGTCGCCGATTTCAGATATTAAACCTTGACAATGAATCTTATTTCAGAAATTAAACGTAGAAAAGAACCAATTTCAGGAAAATATTTCATACTTGTGAAGAAGAAGATGAATCTGACGTGCGGCGGCCCTTGTATTGGGGAGAGGCCGCTGATGGTTGTTGACACCAGGGGAGACGTAGGTCACGGCGACAGATGGAAGTTCTTACGCAGGCGACGGTGGCAGGGAAACTGATGCCGACAGCTGTGAAGAAGAAGGTGCAAGAGATGGAGTCCAGAGTCTACGGAGGAGAAGAAGGTGTAAGAGATGGAGGAGACGAAAGACGTGAGTTTTGTGGGAGTCGATGGCCTGGACGATACTTGTGAAAGACAGCGTGTTTTTTTTTTTAAATATCACTATGCAGAGGCTGCAGAGGTCGCACAGACACAAGCCCAACTCTGCTTGGACCTTTTTAGATTTACAGACTTCTAAAAATCAAACACTTTGCAGACTTTAACATATACACATTGTTTGCCTGCAGACAACTTTGTGTTTCAGGCATACAACTTTGTTGATTTTAATAAAAGAGTTAATTACAAAAATAACAAAATACAAATACAAATATTCATCAAGGGAAAATTGCATAATTGTAGTTATAAAACTAAATTATGAAGAAAAAATATATCCATGTCACCTTGATCAGAAACGGCAATATATGGACAACTTTGGCTACCACGCAGCTTGAGTTGCGAATCATTAGTACAAAAGAACTTTTTTAGTGCGAATCAACCGCCTCATTAAAGGCCAGTAGCATTAAAAAAAAAAAAAAAAAAAAAAAAAAAAAAAAACCGCCCTAAAAGAGCAATAAAAAGATCCTCCAGAAGATTTATTAATGCGGTTCCAATAAATATAGCATTAAAAAAAAAATTTAATGCTATTTGTTGTAAACGCACTATTAAATAATGATTTTTTGGTGCATTTTATTTATTAACTGCATCACTAAATGTAGATTTTTTATGCGATTTTATGAAAAACACCTCTCAGCATCATGAATGCCTCGTATCAAGAAAGGTATAATTTATAAACTATAGAGATTCGATACAGTCGGTTAAGAAGCATACATATATGTATAAGAACAGAACTAGCTTTCACTACAAATCTAGTGACCTATATGGCTATATGAAAGAAGATTCGTTGAGCAATGACACTAAGAAATGTTATTGCAAAGTTTTATGATGATAAACAATAAGAAATGTTATCCAAAAACTAGTAAGATGGGATTAAGTTCTCATTTGGCATGCTCTTACGTCACCTAAAAAATATGTCTTTCAGATTTATTTCTAGTTGGCATTTTATATAGTAATTAAAAAGAAAACCCTAGTCGTGGTCCTCTTGGACATTTGTTTGAAGAGAATTTTAACATGGTCTTCCCAGGAATTAAGCGAGAGACCATTAATAATTGGCCCATCAAAGTAAAATCCAAATGGAACTACTGCATGCAGCAGCCAACAATGCCGACAAAATTTTCCCTGACGGCTGGCCTAACAACGTTATGTCATTCGTGACCTCCTCCTCTTCCATCTAGAAAGCCCCCAAAGGCACCAAGTTAATTACTTTAACATGTATCAGCTCCTTAAACCCATCTGGTTAGACGATTAATTAGTATCATGATTTTCTAAATATATAGCTTAACAAAGGTTTTTATTGTTTTATATATTGTTGCGTTGACAGTTATATAGGGATGATTATATAGGATATTTCTGAAATACCATACGTGCTCTTCCCAAAAGTATAGAATTATAGAAAAGATAACTTAGTAATATGGACGTTTAATATTATATTCATGTAAAAAGATATTGCATTTAGAATTTTCTTTTTTAACATAAGAAAACAAGGAAGGAATAAAGAATATAGTAAAAGATCATGTGAACGAATTATTTAAAAAATGTTATCTTAATTCAAAATAAACGTCGAAAATTAGGGAAATATTAACTTTATGTCAACCTCAAAAATGCTTTTTTAAAGGATGACTTACTTGTCTTTTGTGTCCACTGGATCTCTAAAAGCATAGCCTAATCAAATTGCACCCTTTTTAGACCTACTGGCACCTCCTATATCTAAAGACTTATCAACATGAGATGTATCTATCAAAACTAGTTATATCACCAACAAAGCGTATATAATATATTTTATAACTATATATGCATAGTAGCAATCTTTAATCTTTTGTTATCAAGATTTCTCTAAACTACTTCATAGTTCCACTTTGATCATCCTTGAAATTTTCATCCATGGAAGAATGTCGTCATGATGAATACGCTCCAGCACAAGACTCGTATTATGAAGACGAAATGATTGACACTCTTTCTCTTTCTGATCTTCTGATATACGACAATAATGTAGATGCACAAGACTTTTATCGAGTTGATGATCCAAACCCTAATCTTGACGATGATGCTGATCAGTTTGAGTTTTCTAGTGAGCTTTTGATGACGTCTGTCAGCAGCAACGTTGTTTTTTGCGGGAAGATCATTCCTTACAAAGAACCTAGTGTTTCTCAAAACACCCACAAGCTCGAAAGCAAGAAGCAACAGAAACAACACAAACAAAGATGGAGGTTGGTTACGTTTTTCAAGAAACCGGGTAAATCCAAAGCAAATGTTGAATCGAAGAAACATGATCTGAAATATGATGTACCAATAAGAAGAGTATCAATCATGGCTTCAGCAACGAAACCAAGATGGTACCTGTTGATGTTTGGGGTGGGATCAAGTAGGTTTCCGGCACAAATGCACATTAGAGATTTGAAAAAAAGGCAAACATCAATGAGTATTAAAGATGTGGATAACAAGATACGTGGTGGTGGGATTGGGTCTTGGAGATTGGTGAGGTTCTTGGGTTGTGCTGGCGGTGGAGGTGGTGACAGCCATGAAACCATCATCCGAAAGCAATCGTGAAAATCAAATGAATCAATTAGGTGAGCAATTTGTGTAATTTGTCATCGTATCAATGTCAAGTTTTACCACATTATTTTCATTTGGCATGAGGTAAGTAGAGACTATTTATTCTTTTTATAATGTAAAATATATACTTTTAAAATATGGGATGCTTATCACTATTTCATGATAATTCGTTTAAATACCCAATTAATATATATATATATATATATATATATATATATATATATATATATATATATATATAAAAGGTTAGGTTAATGTGAGACGGTCTAATTTTGTGAGACCGTGACACGCATTTTTTATTTTTTTTTAATTTTTTTTTAGTTAATTCAAGTTTCAAAAATAATATTTAAAAAAAGAATTTTTTGATTTTTCCATTTATTTTGCATTTTAAAATTACTTTTAAAATATGTACAGTGTAATATTCTATTTAGAATATTTCACGTATTTTTAAAAAAAATAGAATTTTTTTTATTTTTTTTATTTTTTTAGTTAATTCAAGTTCCGAAAATAATATTTAAAAAAAAAATTTAGATTTTTCCATTTATTTTTCATTTTAAAATTATTTTTTAGAATATGTCAGTATAATATTGTATTTAAAATACTTTACGTATTTTTCAAAAAAAAAAAAAAAACGGGATTTTTTTTTTTTTTTTTTTTAAAAAAAATTTAGTTAATTCAAGTTCCGAAAATAATATTTTAAATTTTTTTTTTTTTTTTTGGTTTTTCCATTTATTTTGCATTTTAAAATTATTTTTAGATTTGGTCTCACGGTCTCACAAAATTATAATGGTTTCAAATAAACCTGAACCTATATATATATAATATATATATATATATATATATATATATATATATATATATGAGTAGGATCAAATGAGAACACCAAAAAGGTTGAGAACGCGAGAACAGATTTAGGCCCTCCAAATTTTAAAATCAAAGGTTAATATTAACGGGACATTTATATAAATTCTGAAAATCATAGGATTAAAGTGTAACTTCTTAATTAACTAAAAGGGTACTATAGTCATTAGGTTCTATCTTATTTTTATCAGCTCCTAAAATCTCTCTCTCTCTCTCTCTCTCTCTCGTTTTGTTTAAACCCTAATTGATGGAAGCCAACACTAACAAAACGTATGCCTCTCCCTCTTATCTCTCCACTGTCGATCTTTTGAGTTTTCTTTAAACTAACCGCCACACACGACAAAAAACACCACCACTACAGTTGTGATTGTCGAATCCGCCAGAAACACCACCGCTACCGTCATCATCACACAACAATTATCTCTGCGAATGCTGCTGGAAGCAACCAATAAAGGTTTGAAGGGCCCACTTGCGAGCCAAGGAAGGCAGTCGGTGATGTCTGTGGTCGACAGTCGTGATGGTGAGGGGAGTGTCTGCGGGGCCGGCAAGGCTGAAAAGGAGGAAAGGAGAAAAAAATGTAATACTCACTCCATTTCTTACTTTCCGTGTCCATCTATCCCCCGTAACTTGATCATTGCCATTTACACCTTTTCTTCGAGTGATCACTGCTAGAAATACTCTGCTCCCAGGTTAGTTGCAGAAACTCATAATTTGTTTACCAACAGGGAATTTGATATGAGTTGATTATATGTAATTATCTTGCTTCTAAAAAATAAGACAGATGTGTGTTATTTTCCAACTTGGTTAGATGACTTTTTGTTGAAACAAGTTCACTATTTTGCTCTATGATTCGCTTCGCTTCCTGGAAATTGTAAATATATGTACATCATATCATATGGGTATTTGCTAATGTTCAGAGGTGAATCGATTTTGCGTCCTCAATTTCTTATATTTTGATTAATTGTATGTTCTTTCCTGGTGAAAACAATCGATCTATTTGTTAATTTGTGAGATCAATGAACGATCGATCTATTTTGTTACTTTATGTTCCGTTTCTTTTTCTTATGTAGGCACCCTGAAGATTGAGGGTGTTGAAACTTCGGGTCTCTTAAAATGGGTGTAACTAGTGGTAATGGAAGCTTACCAATACCACCTCTATCAAACTATAGAATGGGGAAAACCCTTGGGATTGGATTTGTTTGAGAAGATGAAAGTTGAAGAATTTGAGCTATTATGTTATGTACTTTTTAGATGTAAGTTATATTATATTTTGATGAATTCATTTATGTTAGAATGCATATTTATTTATGAATAATAGTGTATTCATTTGTATTTAGCAGGGCATTCATGTGTGAACCAATGTATTTATTTTATGATTAGAGGTATTCAATTCAAAATAATAGTGTACTAATTTGTTAATAGCAGTTTATTCATTTGTGAATAACAGTGTAATCATGTGTTAATGAGTGTATTTATTTATGATTAGATGTATTCTTTTTATGAAGAAATGATAATTTTTACACTATTCTTATTTCCAGTTGATTAAAAAAAAAAAGTATTTGATTACTTGTAAATCGATGTGTATTCATTAGTGATTGGATCAATAACAAATTTCTTTTCTTAAAAAAAATCAATTATGAATACAAATGTATTAATCTGGGGTTTGACTTATATTCATTTTTTTTAACACAAAAAATATGAAATAGGAGAAAAAAAATGAATTTTTAAGAATTTTTTTTTTTTTTTTTCAATTTTAAAATAAATTTTGTTAAAATTGTTTTTTTTATATCTCATTAATAAGAAAAATAAAAAATGGAATATTTATTACTTTTTTGGTAATTGGTCCTAAATTTAAGGGATTTAGATTGATTTTTATTTTATTTTAATTTAATTAAAATATACAATTACTAATATGCTCTTATATATTGATTGGTCCAGAATTATTCTCGTGTTCTCAACCTTTTAGGTGTTCTCATTTGATCCTTCCCCTATATATATATATATATATATATATATATATATATATATATATATATATATATATATATATATATATATATATATATATATATATAATCAAAGTTAGGAATAGTAAACTCTTGATATTTTGGGCAGGAATGGTCCTTCGTTTATACCGGTTTCTCATTTTTTCGCTTGGTTTGTATTGTGGGCAGTATTTGTTGTTTTGTAAATAGTTTTTGTCCACGTGTTTGTGCTTTGTTTCACCGTATTCGCCCAATGATATTTTGATTACTGCAATGGTTGCCGCTTCCCGATACTTCCCACCGCATCTTTAATAATTGAAAATGTGGTAGACAAAAAGTGGAATATAAATGCCAAAAGATGAAAAAGGAAAGTTGATAACTGAGAGTTCCTCAGGAAGTTCCAACGGTTTATCTTCATACTTTTCCTACTAAAATTTTCCAACAGTTGAATTATGTTGATCAACACATCAGTTGAATCGAACATATAACACAATATTGTTCTGTAGTGTTGTTCAACACATCAGTTGAATTATGTTGATCAACACATCAGTTGAATCGAACATATAACACAATATTGTTCTGTAGTGTTGTTTGTAGTGTTGTTTGCTCTTATGTTGTTTGTTAAAAAATTCTTATCTCTCTAAGTACATGTGTATACTAAAGTAAATGGTTGGATTTTTTATTACGTTGTGTTTGCATTTTTTGTGGCATAGGGATACTTTTACAAATTTCAGAATCCTGATTAATTCACATGGATGATTATTGCAACAAATTGAGTTGCTAAAAACTTAAAAACACCACAACCTTTTGGAAATGGTTTAATTGAAATCCGACCCCGCAACGCGAGATCCTTTTCTAGTTCTAAAATTAAATATTTCTCAACTTTGTTTTCTTCCTAATAAAAGATTTCCAAAATACCAATAAATTTGATAATGTGGACAAGTTAGCTTGTTAATTGTTTTTAAGCACGGCCGACCCTTATTTATCGTAGGCCATGTGCAAAAAAAAAAAAAAAAAAAAAAAAAAAAAAAAAACTCTTAAAATATATTTATATAAAAAAATTCCTAAATATTATATCCGATATTGAAGTGGAAACATTAATCAAAAAATAAAAATAAAATTGTCTGTGATAGGATTTGAACTATGGTTTAGGATCAATGAAAGACAATGCATATCACCAACTCGTAAACAATAACAGATGTTTTATTAAGCTCCAATTAATATATATATATATATATATATATATATATATATATATATATATATATATATATATATATATAGACATTACTATAAAATGAAATTTTGAAAAAAAAAAACATGCAATCTAAAGGAGTCAAACACGGGTGGACGGATATAAATTGGTGCACCCTTAACCAACTACGCTGCATTGATTTTGTTTTAGATGTCAATGATAATATATATAATATATTCTCACTAGGTAAATAGGATGATTTTCAGGCCCAAGTTTTTTCGGGACCCTGTGCGATGGAACATTTTGAACACACCTAGGGTCAGTCCTGTTTTTAAGTGAACTACAAATATTAGCGGTTGTTGCAGTGTTGGCAGTTACCCGACGGTCTTCATGGGATAACGGGAGTTTCATGGGTCGGGGTTTGAGTTGTTGGTTCTTCTAATTAATCGGTTGTTGCAGTGTTGGTATTCATCTGTATTTTTTGTTTATGTTTCGAAGTTCAGTTGTTACCTTGGATGATCAATTGAATGGAATTTCCATATTAGCTCTATTGTAATTGAATTCTTATTATGAATGGGTTAATTATCTTTGTCCTCGGTTGTATGTGTGTTGGAATTTATGAATGTTGTGTAGGTTCATATTCTCTTATGTATGTGGATAACAGTGGTTGGGATCAAGTAGTAGAGTTCAAATGGGTCTTGGTATCAAAGGACTGTGAAGTTCTCAGATTCTAGCATATTTCAAGTGGGGAAGAGTGGAATCTCACGACAAGAAGACCTTGTGTCAAGGTTTGGTTCTCAATCGAATTCTTCCAAGCTCAAGACTTCCACGCAACTGTTGAATCTTCAGTTTCGCGTCAAGATCATTTTTAGTTGTTGAATATCCCTTCGAGTCGTATTATTTTTAGTTGTGATAGCATCTGTAGGGCGTGCTTGTGCTTTAGACTCTAGGAT